TTTTTAATTTATTAAATCAGTCCTTTTCTTAAGGGTGGAGATCATGAACAATTTGACCGGGGCAGAGAGGGAGAAGCTTCATGACTTTATGAGCATAATGCACCTTTGCCGCTGCATTTTCCACACTTGTGGATCAGAATTTAGAAGGGGCACATTGGTTAGGAGTTAGGACAGGAGCTGCTTGCAGATATGCAAGCGTGTGCTCATGAAGTCATGATAGGCCAGATGGGTGCCGGGATCAGACCACTGGCCCCGTGCCGACAGTGGCCCAAGTCATAAGGGAGAGCGCTGGCGTCCTGCTGCTGGGCTGGGCATCCACGCGGCTGCGGCCAGTGCTAATGGGTAATGGCCCACAGAGCAGAAGGGGAGGGAGGAGGAGTTGAGGACGACCGGGACATGGACTCGGCCCGATTCAAAGAGGAACACAGGCCGAAAACACCCAGTGGCCAGGCAAACGAAATAAATACTTTTCTCTCTTTCCTTTGAGGACTGTAGAACTCTAAATAAATTTAGATATATCATTTTCGACGAACGTGTAGAAAATAAATGAACGGCATGAATGCATCAAATATATAGACTGATTTTTTTAGTTTAGAAAAATCTTTACTGCACCAAGTATTAATGAGAGCCACCAGCGCTGGACAAATTTAAAACTATAATATAAGGAAAATGTTGAATTATTTTGTACTTTGTATTTAAATCCAAAAAAATAATTTTTTTGGGCTGTGACAACGGCGCAATGGAGAGAGAAAGAAAAACATAGTTGACTATCGTAGAGATTTTCAAACGTAAGGGCTCCCAACACGTTATATTCGTCCTGTTTTTCAGCGGCATTTTTAAGCAAAGGAACAATATTTTTCTCTCATAATAAATCAGCATCAACAGCAGACTAATTTCAGCAAAACGAACAGAGCCACTATAGTGCGCATTTTCAATAGGGTTTCTCCCTTACATCAACATCAACTAGCAATATACTCCCTCTGTCTCTGAATAAATAGATTTCTAAAGTTGTCTGAAGTCAAACTTTTTAAACTTTGACCGAATTTGTAGAAAAAATATCAAGATTTATGATATCAAACTAGTATCATTAGATGTACCATAATAGACTTATTTTATGTCATACACGTTGTTACTCTTTTCTATAAAGTTAGTTAAACTTATAAGTATTAAAGTTTATTAGGTAACACAATTAAATACACCTTTGAGGTTTATTATAATGTCAGCTAGCCCATGCATAATTTTAACAGAATATAATGAAATACTGATACAATAATTTCCCAGAAGGATATATCAGTATTGGAAGGATATGTATACGAATACAACAATTTCCTAGAAGGATACATATATGTGTATTGGTATTTGAAGGATACGGATACGGATACGCTGATACGACAATTTCCCAGAAAACATGATCAGTGGATATGTTTTACTATTTTTTAATAAATAAATAATAATGCAAATTAAAATTCTGAAAGTCTATAACTCGATGAGTAGTCACTAATCAGCGTTGAATCGCCCTCTCCCCTACATCGCGGGAGTTGCTGCGGGCATGGCAAACTGGTGGGTGCTCCCGGTGCGGCAATTTGGAGGAGGGGAGAAGTCGAATGATGGCATGGAGGGGGAGGAGGCTCGTCGCCGGCGGCCGGCAAGCGGTGGCGCATGCCTTGCGTAGGAGGCGGCGATGCTAGCCGTGGCTATGGTGGACTGGTGGGTGCTCACCGGCTCGGCAGTTTGGAGGACAAGGAGAAGTTGATTGATGGCATGGAGGGGTGGAGGCTCGTTGCCAGTGGCCGGCGAGTGGGGCGCAACCCATGCGCAGGAGGCGGCGCGAGCTACGACAGTACGAGCGAGGCGTTGCGACGTGGAGATGGAGCACTTGTCAGGTCATATACTCAGTATTTCAAAAATTAATGAAAATTAGTACTTGAGAATACATATCAGAGCTGTATCGGTGGCGTATCAGAGACACGATACGGCCCCTCATTGAACTATGTAGGCTACAACTTCTGATAAGTTTAGGCCCTGTTCGCTTGACTTATCAGTCGTACTGTTTCAGCGAAATAACAGTGTTTTTTATCTCACAATAAATCAGCATCAGCATCGGCCCTGTTCGGCTGGCTGGAAAACCGGTTGATGTTGATGCTGATGCTGATTTGTTATGAGAGAAAACACTGTTATTTCGCTGAAATGATACGGTTGATAAGTTCAAATGAACAGGGCCATCAGCATCGGCCGTTTTTTTAGCCAACCAAACAGAGCCTGAGACTTTCAGCATATTGGCATAAATATGACGTAACAATAATGAATTAAATTGATGCTTTTAAGAAACAACACTATGGTACTATTTATTTGGTAAGTTGTGTCATACTTGTGTTCATATTATATGTCAACTTTGAAAAATGTAATACAAACAATGCATCAGTAGTAGTTTAATAGCATCAGGACAGTCATAACTTATAAACTATGATATAGTTTATATACTTATCAAATCATGTAGATACTACAACCCTGTTTGGCTTACCCGGCTTGTTTAGCTTCTTTTTTCAGCTGGAAACAGTATTTTTCTCTCACAACAATTCAGCTAGAACAGTGTTTTCATTCAGTTTTAGCCAAGTTTCAGCAAGCCAAACAGGGCCTACATATAAATATCATACTTCAGATGGTTTTTTTTTTTTTGGGTAGGGGGGTGGGGGGGGGGGGGAGGGTGTCAAACCACATGTCTCCTCTCTCCTATAATATATCTAGACCTTGTTTAGATTGCAATTTTTTCACTCTCTTCCATCACATCAAATCTTTGGACACATGCATGGAGTATTAAATGTAGATAAAAAATAACTAATTACACAGTTTGATTGTAAATTACGAGACGAATCTTAGATTGTAAGTTTTTTCACTCTCTCTCCATCACATCAAATCTTTGGACACATGTATGGAATATTAAATGTAGATAAAAAAATAACTAATTACACAGTTTTGATTGTAAATTACGAGACGAATCTTTTGAGCCTAGTTAGGCCATGATTGAACAATAATTGTCAAATACAAACGAAAGTGCTACAGTGCCAAATACTGATTCCTAATCCCAATCTAAACAAGGCGCTAGTAGATCTTTCCATATCTTGCCATATCTTGATTTTCGTGTAGATTATTTTTTATTTATAAGAAATCATTTCCTCCTCCTCCTCTCTCTCTCTTTCGGTGACACATCACCATTTTATTTAGTTTGTACCTAACTAATACTATAGAAACCATTCTAGTTTTTGGGTTGAGACTCGTGCAAATTAAAGAAACTGAAAGAAAGACATTGGGCGCGTTCGGCTGGTAAAAAATTCAGCCGAAATTCACTGTTTAAGGTTGAAATTCACTGTTCACGCACTCACAAATTTCTCTAAATTTCTTCGAGCGAACAGAGCCATTGAAAAAAAATAATCTTATAATATTTATGCCTCCCCTGCAAGATTAGTAGTAAAATTTTCCTGGGTGAAATGGGTGGCAGAATAACTATTCACTCGTATAGTACTACTAGTAACGATATCTTATTGGCAGTACCTGCTGGCCGTTGCGGAATAGCCACGCAGCAACTTGTCTGCTCTGCTCGGCTGCGCCTACAAATCCAGCACACGCGCGCGTCCTCCTCCTCATCCTCCCCGCAAACCCCCAAGTCCCCAACTACCCCCCAGTCTCGGGAGAGAGCCTTCCAGAAGCGCAAGACTCCAAGGCCGTCGCCTTCCTCGCCGCGGGGGTCGCCTGAGGTATGCTACCTACCAAAACCCTCTCACGGATTCCTGGGGTTTCGATCGCCTCAACTCTGCTCTTGTTGCTTCGTATAACCTGGTCTCCGAATACCCCGGAGTAGCTGCGGTTGGTTGGATCTCAGATCGGTGGGGCGGTTCCACTTCTATTTTGTTTTTCCCCTTTCCGCCTCCTTCGTTAGCTTCCGATTGATCGTCGAGCTTAGTTTAGATCTTACATCATATCAATCCCATCTAGGCGTCACAAGTAGTGGGACTCGATTTGCTTCGTTCCACCGGATTAAGCACTTTGGGAGCCCTAGATACGTGTCATGTTAGTCCCCTTGTTCAGTCTTGTTGCTTGTTCTGGGATGAATGGTCGTGTGTATATTACCTACTTGGAGTACTTTATGCTACTCGTGGTGGACTGGTGGTGCCTCATGTTGGTACGTAGACTGTTGTGGAAGTGTTAGCTGTAGACTTTTTTTTCTGTTGTTTTTAGCTTTGATGATGAACCGGATCACCACTACGCCTTCAGTTTTACCCCTGACCAAGAATATGTGATGAAAGAATGATATTTTCAAAGGTCGTACTGGTATCGCTATTTGTGCCAAGAAAAAGTCTGGCTGCATCATGCAGTTTGACTTCTAGAAGTTCAGATGTCGTAGCATCATGATTTCTGCCTGTTGAGATTAGCTATTTGGAGCACGTTTGATCAGATAGGTTCGGATACCCATATCCTGTTATGGTTTGTCAGGGGATGTGTAGGATGACTGGACTAGCAAGGTGACCAGTCGAAATCACCTCTACCTCCATGATTAATTTTTTGAAGTTCTGTTTTGAGAAAGAGTTGTGTGTATTATTTGTACCCAATTGTGTGTGGTGTGATTCTCCTAGAGTTGTGTTCTTCATGTGTGAAAAGGTTATACATTTTTCTTTTTGGTTATCTTGAATAAGTGTACAGGTCTGTGTGGTCTCTAGTATGTGGAAAAATGGAAACAGCCACTTGCAACATAGTGATAGCGTCTCATATTTCCTCTTGGTTCACTTTTGATGTCTTGATGATGTCACAAATGAAGGCATAGCTCATGTATTTTGTTTAAAATATTCCATCTTCCACTTACGATGAGATTATGTAGATGCTATATATCTAGGGGTTAACATCTAATATGTACTGACATATCTCACTGCTTGCTTGTAGTTTGTGCTACTTTTACCCGTACTGAAATGCCCTGTTACTTGTGGAGTTGTTTGCAGATCACATAAACAATGGTGAAGGCTGTTGCTGTGCTTGGTAGCAGTGAGGGTGTCAAGGGCACCATCTTCTTCACCCAAGAGGGAGATGGTAATAAATTACATATTCTTTGATCTAGTATTTTATATCCAATTGAATTGTCGTCTTCGCCTTGTTGACTCTGCTCGTTGGATCTATTGTTAGGCCCTACCACTGTCACCGGGAGTGTCTCTGGCCTCAAGCCTGGCCTCCATGGGTTCCATGTGCATGCACTTGGTGACACCACCAATGGCTGCATTTCAACTGGTATTTATGCTTCTTTTACTTTGGCTTGCTTATGTGATCAGGATGTGTGCTAAGTTATCGACCATTGAACTTTCTACTTGTTGGTGAACTTGTTTCATAATTAAGGACCACACTACAATCCTGCGAGCAAGGAGCATGGAGCACCAGAAGATGAGAACCGCCATGCCGGTGATCTTGGAAATGTGACAGCTGGAGCAGATGGTAATGATCTCTGCCCTTCCTTTCTTGATCTGTTTTACATACCATGTAGTAGCTGGTCGGTGGTCGCTAGTACTTGGGCTAAGGAAGCTGTGTTACTTCTATGATCCTTTAGCCATAGTCCATAATTCCATTCACATGCTGTGTATATGATAATGTACTATCTTGTCACTGAGTTTGTTTCTCTGCTGTCAGGTGTTGCTAACGTCAGTGTTACCGACAGCCAGGTAATCAGACACTTGGTGGACCTTTATGATTCCTATGTCACCCTAGCCTTCTCCTTAACACTGCTAATGATTTTTTTCAGATCCCACTGACTGGGCCAAACTCAATCATTGGCAGAGCTGTTGTTGTTCACGCTGATCCTGATGATCTTGGAAAGGGTAATGATGTTATTTACTGTCCACACTTGTGCCTTTTGTGTGTTGAATGTGGTGCTTTTCCTCTGTTTTAAGCTAAGTTTTTCACAATGGTTCTGAGTTCAGATAGTCCTATAATCACTATATATACCTGTTTATGGATCACGTGAATAAATCCTTGCGAGAGTGTGTCTAATTATATCTTATTATTAAATGGTGGAGAGAGAAATTTGGCAAGGCTATGCTTGAACTGTCCCATAAATTCGTTAAAAAAATCCAGTTTTTTATGCCATTTTTAAGTCATGATAAAGGATATTTGAACTTTAAATAAGCTGAACTAGGTTAGTGTCTTACAATTGAGTCATCCATTTGGCTATCCTTTGATCTGCTGATCTGAATTCTTTCGTAAGAACTTTGGCTTTGCACAATGCCATCTTTAATCTTGTTTAGGTTATGAATATAATACTTGTAAAAGCTTGTTTATGTTATGGTGGATGTCACTGATCAATCCGCATTTGTCTATTTAAACACCTTGTTTGTGCACTTTGCCAGATTTTGTTGCCTTATCCTTAGTTTTCAAACTGAAGTCTGTACTATTAGGTTCTATTCAGAGCCATTCTCCAAAACGGCTCATCTCAGATAGTAAGCTTAACAACTGTTTGTTTTCTGTGTTGTACATTCAGGTGGGCACGAGCTCAGCAAGAGCACTGGAAACGCTGGTGGCCGTGTTGCTTGTGGTACGATCACCCATTTCCCAGCCCCATTCCCTTACACCAGATTAGCTTCCTGTTCTTTCACACACACTGGATTTCTGATCGCATTATATTATCACTCCAGGGATCATTGGACTCCAGGGCTGAAAATGATCGCCGGACTTCGGGCGCCTGCCTGAGAGTGTCGTCTTCTGCCGTCACCAACAGACCAGCCTGAACACTCCGAGATCTCGTGAAATAAGAGCACCTGATCTATGATCAGTGTATTTGTCATTAAGCACCTGTAGCAACCGATGAACTAAACTGTGTTGGACTATGCTGGATCGCCTGAGTATGTGTTACATGTCGGTTTTGAGAACATCCTATCGTTTCGATGTGCTTTTGTGGAACGTGTTGTTGCAATCAATGGTGGCGACTTGGTTTTGATATGCAGTCAGCAGCAGCAGCAGCAGCTCGTGATTGCTGCTGAGTGCTGACTTGCTGTTGAAATACGCTGGCTGCATCGCCTGTCTTCAGTGGAGACTAGAAAACAATGCGCGGCAACGCCGCGCAGCAGCATGCGGTGCCCCGTTACAGAACCAGTAATATCAAGCTTAATAGTATGTTTATTATATATACATTTGATACGAGCACAGATATAAAATTATGAGGTATTTCCAAAAATTATACATCTTATATGTTAGAGTTAGGGTTAGTAGTATTAGATCTGTGCAAAGGATTTATGTGAATTCGTTTTCTAACACGATTACAGGATAGCATCACTATGAAACTTAGTCTGTTTTGAAATTGAAAACTCAAAACCCATGCCATTTGTTCATTCGGTCAAATTGAGCACCTAAATCTCCCTGAAGATATTTTCAAATTTGGGAAAAGGTATTTTACTTAGAGTGCAAAATGAGTTTAGGAATTTGAGCATTTTGCACCTGCCTGGCAGCTTTTGTCTTCCTATTCTTTGCTGCTCCCTGCAATCCACAGCAGCTGGACTCCATTGACAAGAATACAAGGACATGGAAGCCATCTCCCTCTTTTTCTCCTGATCTCTGTTTTCCTCGTTGGCTTCTCCGTAGACCAGAATGGCTATGGCAGTGGCAGCAACAGCAGCTCGCTCCTGAAGTGCTCCCTGCCGTGTGGGTCTGTGCCTCTGTGGCCCTCTTCTCCGCGTGATGCAGCCGGATCGAGCTGCACCTCTGCACCAAATGTGCAGCACACGGTAAGCCAAAGCAGATTCTGAACATTAGCTTCATTGCATAGCTGAGACTAACAAATTCTTCTGTTTTCTTACCCTACCTGACTGACGTCCGTGACGCTCAGCCCCTTTCTTCTCCCAGTTCTCTCCCAAACAAGCTCCACCGCTTCCGCATGGCGCCAACGGAAGCTAGACCGGTTGGTAAAAAAATCTTCAATTTGCGTGATAAGGTCTTCTTCTTGATGAAATACCCGGTGGGACATCGTCCCCCCACAGATCGAGTTTTTTTTGCTTCCGCATGGCATCTTTCTCTCTTACCCTCCTCCAGCTCCATTACAAGTCCTTTGCCGGATCCGTTGCTCTAAGCTGGGGGCACCTTGGCGGAGCTGGCAATGCCTGAGGAAGTGAAATCAGTTCAGAAATGGTGTATCAGTTCAGAAATGAAGAGCACTTCAGGAGCAAGCTGCTGTGCTGCCATAGCCATTTCGGTTTATGGAGAAGCCAAAGTAGAAATGGTGTATCAGTTCAGAAATAAGAGTGGAAGTGAAATGAATATTCAGATGCATATATTGTTTTGTTTTTCACACAAACATTACTGCATGTTCCTCTCTCCATTGACATATGGTTACTGATGAACGCAAAACAGATCAGGTTAATCCATCTATCATACTAATTTTTTTTTCCAAATTCTACAACTAAATCGAAATCATCTTCCACATTAAATAAATCAACAGATCAGTTTTTTTTTACAGATGTACTGATCAAAGGCTTGCTAACCCATTTAAGTTGCTGTAGTTGAACATTATAAACAAAATTCATCAGACCATCATATCCCAAATTAGAATAAAAAAATCATAGAAACCGAAATTAACTTTGCATGTCTGCTTTAATCGAGAACACTGGGACGGGAGTAAGTACTCATCACTTATTGTACAATAAGCTTTTCTAGAAGTGTAAATGCTACATTTCTCAGTAACACTGAATATTACCTTTGCTACAGAAATTCATCTATAAGGTTTAAGTAAATCATCATTTCTAATTTGCATAATTACTTATTCAGGTGATAAGTGAACTAAATACAATATTGCATCACAGTCATACCACGGAAATCGCATCAGGGTGTTCCTACGGATGGTTGAGTTCTACAGAGTGTAAATGTGAAAATTGCTGACATGCACATTTCATCAAACACCATAGCTGCACTGCCGGAGGGCGGCGGCCGCGTCCAGCTGCCTCGAGGGACCACGCCCATGCGCCGCCGCGTTTAGTCCCCTGTGCCGCCTCGCTGTTGGTCGGCGACTGCGCTGCCACTTCGGTGCCTGCGCTTGTGGTCTGCGCCTCCGCGGTGGCGGCCGTGTCCAGCTGCCCCAGGGACTATGCTCGTGCGACGCCACGCTCAGCTCGCCCGCGCGGGCCGCGCCACCTCGTTGGTGGCTAAGGGCGGGATGAGCCTGAATCCTGATCGCTGCCTGCCGCCGTCGTTGTGAAGGTAGAGGACGCCGGCCTCGGCACGCTACTCGCCGCCATGGGGACCATTGCACGATCGCTTTGTGTGGAGTCCGGCGTTTTGTGTCGGAGAGAAAAGGCGCTGCGCAGGTGCGTCGGCGACGATCGCGTGGCTCGATCAGCCCGTCTCCCCCGATGAACAACGATGGGAACTTGGGGGAGGGGATGGTGGCAACGGCGACTTTGTCTCACGCCGTAGTAGCCGAAGGTTCTAGAATTGCTGGCTGTTGTGCTGCATGTGGATGGTTCGATCGACATCCAACGGAGGACAAAAAAACGGATGACGTGTGATCGACATCCAACGGAGGACAAAAAAACGGTGACGTGGCCAAATTAGGTGCAGGATTCCATGGTGCAAATTTCGTCTAGTAAATAAAAGATGGTCCGCGCCAGCGACGGCACATCCGTGCCCACGGTTGCTTTGCTTTTGCTTCCACTGTTCGGCTAGATGGACACGACGTTTGCAGCAGCGGTGTAGGCCCTGTTTGTTTCGGATTAAGGCCCCAAAATGTTTTTTCGGATTAAAATCTCATTGTTGATTGGACTGCGATTTCTCACCTAGCATTTTTTTTCAGGTGGTGGAGAAAATCACACGGTTTTTTGGTTTTTGATGGATCCGAACAGGATTGGACTGCATTGGGCAGTGGTGGAGAAAATCACACGGTTTTCTATCCGAACAGGGCCATAGCTGTTGCCGTTGCCGTGGTGGTCGGTAGTGGTGATCTCGGAATGCCGATGGTGCGGATATATGCTCGTGCTGCAGTTTGCACAGTTGATCTGGTATGTGGTAAGGGACGGTCGCGGAATCGATCAGACGAAGAGCGGCATTGCACCGGAATGAACCAATTTGCCGCCGTACCGATTGGTGAGGGTGTAAGGCAGGTGCACGGAGCAGAAAAAAGAAGGAAAGAACGAAGTGCCGTACCGACAGGGAACAGGGAAAAAAAAAGATGAAAAGGGGCATTCCGAGAATCGAACTCGGGACCTCTCGCACCCAAAGCGAGAATCATACCACTAGACCAAATGCCCTGTTTGCTGAGGAAGAACGGGGGTTATATACAACACCACGCTCCTTTCAGCATCCTCCATTTTTGAACTTCCAATGTCGACATTTTTTTTGGTAACTCATGTCAACGTTAGGGGTTGAGTTACCTGTGTCTGATCAAAATGCCGGTTCAGAATACGTTTAGATCGGCCAAAAGAAAATACTGAGTAAAATCTCTGGTGTGAGTTCAACCCAACGGACTGGCTCAGATTTTCTACGGATCTTTCTATTTTGGGTTGATTTTTTTTCCCTGGTTATTAGATCGGATCATGGATTATGATCCAAGGCACCGACACATCGGGTTAGTCGAGTTGGGTGGACCTCCAACCTCGCTGTCGCTCCATTGTAGCAACGCATACGCATCCGGCATCCACTGTTCTCCCGCGTCGTACCAGACAGTAGTGTAGTCAAGAGCCGACAAACCTGCGGCGGCCATCACCACGCACACGCAGAGAGCCATACCAGATCCGACAAATCTCGGTCGGCCGTGAAAACCTACGGCAGCCGCAATGAACTGGAAGCAGGACAGCGCAGCACCGACACGACACGTGAGGAGCAACAGCAGGCGTCCGTCGTCCCTTCTGCTGTCCTTCTAGAAGGCACGAGGCATCAAGGAAGTTGGACCGGGGGCAGGGGCACCGCGTCCGCGTGCCGGGCTGCCGGTCCGTCAGTGTCACCGTACCTGCACTCCACTGTCACACTGTGTTTTCCGCGCGCGCTGTTGCTTGTTTTGTCCAGCTATGACCTCACACCGTCACACGAATCGCCATAGTGTTCGGCTAATCTTATCAGTCACCTTATTTGTTGGTTTATAAGTTATGATATAAGTATTTTTCTTTCTTAAAAAATTAGCCATACAAATCAGTATCAGCGGCCGGTAGTTGATTTGTATGGCTGATTTTTTAAAAGAGAAAAATACTATATACCAGAGCTTGAGGCTCGGCCAAATAGAGCACGCATCTGATCCGTTTGCACCACCGGAGCATCTCCAGGCTCCAGCTACCCATTTCCAAAGAAACTACTGTACTACTGGAGAGTTGAGCTAATTTTCTTGCTACAGCGGGCCTGATCAGCTGCACTTCTTGCAGCGGCAGCCAGAGGTAAGTTCTCAATACCTACAGTGCTTGAAAGAGAAAAACATGCAGCAACAACTGCAGCCACCATAGAAAAAAGACAGCTGAGCAGAGGCTACATATCTCCTTTTCCATTTCCTTTTAATGGAGATAACTAATATTTTGCCCCAACTGCCCTTAAAACAGAGGGGAAGATGCAACTTGCTCAATAACTTGCTTGCACTCTAACTACCACCGAGGTGATTTTTTTCGAGTGCCTCGTTCAATGCTGCCTCCAGGCTCAAGGCTACTCCCTTTGTCCCTAAACGAAGTGTATATCAGTGAAGAGATCAATGCCAATGAAAATTACATATACCTCTATAAAGATGTAATCATTGCACACTGAGAAAAGAGAAAGCAGAAAAGAAAAACAACTAGAGTTAGATTGTCTCATACCTAGAGATGCACTTATTTTGGGACATATTTTGAACGATTGAGGGAGTATAGCTCCACTCGTCGGTGAGCCACCGTTGGCTTGCTTGTCATAGGTAGCCACTAGCCACCTGGATCTTGCCCTATGCATTGGAGTTCTGGGGGCATGACCACCTTTGAATCGTTGCCCAAATACTTGAGCTAGCGAGCTGGGATAACAAAGTCGGCGAGCATGCACGAGGTCGCGATGTGTTGGGTTTTTCACCACCGGTGAGCACGTAGTGGAGCGGAAGAGAACAAGTGATTGAGAGGGGTGACCGCGGTGACAACTGTGGAACTATGGTAGGGTTTTGTTCCAAGGAACATGAGATGTGAGCCATCCTTCGTGATTTGATGATGTATGATGCATGGACCATGGTGCTGGGACTAACAGGAAAGTTCGAATGAACACGAGGATGAGTTGGCGAGCATGATGGGCTGCTATTAGAAGGGTATTGTTTTTTGTGATTACACCGCACAACGCACGCACACTCACCCCTATGAACGCATGCACGCAAACACTACCCGTATGAGCATCTTCGAAGACTAGGTTGACAAATCCTTGAGATTGACAAAACCATCACATACGTCTTGTTATCGACGAGAACGTTGCTTACCACTGAAAGCGCAACGACGTTAAATCCTGGAATATTCGCTCCCACGGGGAGTTGAACCCCGGACCTAAGGTGCTACTGTGGCTCTTGTAACTACTAGACTACATATCCTTTTTGTCGGGCATTGGAGATTTGATGCAACATGTTTTCCAATATTCTAAAAAATGTTGAGTATTAGGCCAACCCCATTAACATCTTATTGGGTAGTCGTACCGAGAGCCGCTAGATACTCTAACCTCCCATTAGAAAATGGACTTGGAGTACACCAAGGTTGGCATGGGCGCACGGGT